TACGTCACACAAAACAGAGGACAATTCACACACTGAACAACAAGCTAAAGACTAAAAACTTGGCAGGCAATCAGAATTAGAAAAAAACTAAGGATGATTTTTTATAACTAAGAAATAATTCTGCGTCTACTCTGATTCTACATTTTTCCAGAGCAGCAGCAATCTCTACAATTCTGTCTCACAGTCCAGTCAATGAGATTTTCTTTCAGGCAGTTGGCCATGTAACTCATTAATATTAGTGGGTATTTAATGCACCCAAAGGTCCCCTTATAAACAGTTTCAAATCAAATATACACTCACAACACAGATCTCAAAGTCACCTCGCTGATAAAGGTTTTGAGTTTGAGGTAGATAAGAAGTCTATTTTAAATAATTTAGACCAAGTTTAGACAGAATTAGATAAAGTTTATCCCAATCATATAAATTCCATTATGTGGCACTTCATTAACTTAAGTTTACTCTTACTTGAAATGTCCATTTTCCAATAATAATTATAATAATTATAATGGATGGTAATGAAGAATTACATGATTACAAATTGCCTTCCAAAATCACCTAAGAGGCTGGGCACAATGGCTCACACCTGTAATCCCAGCACTTTTGGAGGCGAAGACTGGTGGATCACCTGAGGTCAGGAGTTTAAGATCTGCCTGACCAACATGGTGAAGCCCTGTCTATACTAAAATACGAGGTTAGCCACGTGTGGTGACTGGTGCCTGTAATCCCAGCTACTCGGGAGGCTGAGGCAGGAGAATTGCTTGAACCCAGGAGGTGGAGGCTGCAGTGAGCCGAGATCATGCCACTGCACTCCAGCCTGGCAACAGAGCGAGACTCCATCTCAAAACAAACAAGAAAACAAAATCACCTAAGAGGAAATTGTCTCTGGGCCTCAGTTTCCTTTTTCATAAAATGAGGGGGTTAAATCAAAAGGTCACCAAATTGAATATACTATAATACTTTATGACAGTAAGATGTCTAATTAAATTTATATTTAAATTATAGAGTTTTACAATTTGGCAGTTCCTCAAAAACTAAATGAAAAATTACCATATGACCCAGTAATCCCACTTCTAGTTACTTTACCCAAAAAGATTGAAGGAAGAAACTCAAACAGACAGTTATACCTCAGTGTTCACAGCATCATTACTTACAGTAGCCAAAAGGTGGAAACAACTGATATGTTTGTTCACCAACAGATGGATAAGCAAAATGAGGTAAAAACATATAGTGGAATATTATTCAGCCTTAAAAAATGAAGTTCTCATACTTGCTATAACAGGAAAGGAACTGTGAAACATATTTATTAAGTAACAAAAGACAAATACAAAAGGACAGATACTGTATAACGCCACTTATATGAAATATCTAGGATAAGCAAATAAGAGAAAGTAGATTAGAGGTTTCTAGGGGTTGCAGGGAGGAGGAATAAGAACTTATTGGCTAACAGCTACAGAATTTGGGGTAATGAAAGAGCTTTAGAAGCAGACAGTGGTGATGGCTGCACAACTGTATGAATGTAATTAATATCACTGAATCGTACATCTAAAATGGTTTAAAAGGCAACTTTTATGTTATATATACATCTAATAACAGAAAGAAAATTATAGAATCTTAACATTTGTACAGATGAAGAAGGTTAGCCACAGTCTATATGGTCCTACACAAGTCTCAATCTCCCATTTTCAGTTTCTTCATCTATAAAATAAGAGTAACAAAATGAATTGTCAATGCATGGGATCCACAGTGGGGCATCTGCCTAGGACTCGTGATAAAAAGATAAATTCCATGTATGAATAAAACTATTTGATCGATTTGTAACAGAGTAAAGGAGAAATATGTAACATCACCTAAAAAAGACTGGCTCAGAGGCCTGCCCAACTTCATTGTGGCCAGACTGAACATATTATCACATGCAATGAAGGATTAAGCCATTCACAAGTAGGTTTGAATACTGCTGAAAACTTGAAAAGCCAACCACTATCTGGGGAAAGAGTGAAAATCTTGACCAATGATTTTTCACGTCTACCTTGCCCCACATAAAGATGGATGTTGACAGTCAACTTCAAGTGTGTTAATCTCACTGACAACAAGACAATCAATAATATCTATTTCAGTACGATGATATTTCCTGAAGAACAGTATGATTATCTCATTGGGAAAAAATACATACAGGAGAAGAACACTGAGAATACTTTAAAGGTGCTACTTTCAAGTTATTTTTATTGCCAACTACTGTTAAAATTTTGAACAATGAGACACAGGAAGCACTCATAGGAAAAGTTTTACAATTATTAATTCACATAATACTCATCACAGCCTCATGGTATAGAGACGCTTGTTATCCCCATTTGACAAATGAGAAAATTCAGATGCAGAAATATTAAGGACCTTGCCATGGTCACACAGCCTACCAGTGGTGGGGCCCGCAATTGCACTCAGGCTAGTAGCTAACATTTTAAAATAAACCAAAACTTCATATTCATCAGTGAGAAACAACCCACAGAAAGTTGTCATTCTTGGTAATATTAAAATATTCTAATTACAAAAAAGACATTTACACTAACCAGTAAGTTACCCAAAATGTAAACAATTAGGAATAAGGCCTGCTGCTGACATATGGGGCAGTGGAGTTAGCTGGGGAGGAAACGGGCAGTCATGGGAGAGGAGAAGTGTTGATGGAGGCATGAGAATACTGTAAATAGACTGACCGCCAGGGACTGAGTCGGACTGATGTGGTTGACAGGTCACATCTCACCATTTAAGCAGCAGGCTGAAGATCCAACCTAACTCTTTAGACTTTCTCCAGGTAAACACCCTCAAAAATCATGGTACTTGCTACCAGCCAGTCATTCACAGGGTGAATACTGGCAATGTCCCTGTTCTAATTACAATTGATTTTTATAGCAGAGGATATTGGGATAAAGGGGGAAACGGCAGGGCAGATGGTTGACGCTCTTATCTTTAGCTATCACATCTGGTGTTATAATGCTCAATCTAATCAGCCCATGTGGATGGATTAGAGAGAGTCAATATTGACGGCCCCCATCATTAACTTTTCATAGGACCAAAGCATCAGATTACATCAGCATCCATGAAACCTAAAATCCGTCCGACTCCCTGGTTCTGATTCCATGTTCAACATTATAATTTACTATCTCCTACTTTCCATCTGGACATAGAGCAAATATGTATCCACTATTTGGAATTCAAACAACATAATCCACGACTTTTTTTTTTTTTTTTTTTTTGAGACAGAGTCTTGCTCTGTTGCCAGGCCGGAGTCCAGTGCTCTGATCCTCGGCTCACTGCAACCTCTGCCTCCCAGGTTCAAGCAATTCTCTGCCTCAGCCGCTCGAGTAGCTGGGATTACAGGCACATGCCACCACACCTGACTAATTTTTTTATTTTTAGTAGAGATGGGATTTCACCATCTTGGCCAGGCTGGACTTGAACTCCTGGCCTCGTGATTCACCTACCTCAACCTCCCAAAGTGCTGGGATTACAGGCATGAGCCACTGCACCTAGCCCCAAGAGTTTTTTTTTTTTTTTTTTTTGGTAAATTTAGCTTAATATATCAGCCTTATGAGTTTAGTTACGTGATCCACCCATGAAACGAATCTGGTTTTGGCTGCTGGGTTTTTTAAAAAGTCAGTGTTCTTCTATAAGACCAAGCCAGATCTAGGTCTAAGGTTGTGATTAATAACCTATGAATCCCCAGCAAGCCCTACTCTGCCCCTCTTTATGCTCTGCATATTTTTTTCTTTTCCCCTCTAAGCATTATTTTTCAGGGTAGTTATAAAAATTAAATGAGATAAAGATAATTGTGCTCACCAAACTTATTGGCAGATGACAAATAGACATTCATTGTACCCCCACCCTCACCTCTAGACTTTATTAATCCATATTTGAAAGTTAGTAATCAGAAAACTTTATGTTCATGTTAGATTCACGTTTAGCATACTCGATGAGGCTATACCAGTCCAATGAGTTCTGGGAGAAATGCTATTTTTCCTACTCCTGAGATGCTAAGAAATAGACCATTTACCTCAAAAATAGATTAGGGTATGACAAGAGGAAAAGGGCTGCGAAAAAAGACCTGTCAACAGCCAAATGAAGTAAATATGTAATACTTATAACTAAAAAGAAAAGCTATATAAGGGCTGGGAGCAGTGGCTCACACCTGTAGTCCCAGCACTTTGGGAAGCCATGGCGGGCAGATCACGAGGTCAGGAGATCAAGACCATCTTGGTCAACATGGTGAAACCCCGTCCGTACTAAAAATACAAAAATTAGCCTGGCTTAGTGGTATGCGCCTGTAGTCCCAGCTACTTGGAAGGCTGAGACAGGAGAATCGCTTGAACCAGGGAGTCGGAGGTTGCAGTGAGCCGAGATCATGCCACTGCGCTCCAGCCCGGTGACAGAGCAAGATTCTGTCTAAAATAAAACAAAACAAACAAAAAACCCATATAAGTTGCCCAAAGTCCAAAGTCAGACAGAAAATCAGTCCAATATGTTGTAAACTGCACAACAATGATACATATACACACTGATTTACTACCATGATTACAAAAGTAATATCAAAAAAAAAAACAAGTGCTGAGTATTTTGAGGAGCAGTAAAAATGTTTGGGATGGTTAATGTTTCAAAGTGATCGTCAAGAGTCGAAAATTGGGGTAAAACCCATTTTGAGAGTCACTTTCTTTTGTATTACTGTGATTATAAAGCCATCCAAATTTTGCAAAACCTTTCTTACATGAGCCAAATTCAAAATACAAAATAAACAACCTACGGAAAGTTAGGTTTCCTGCTAGTCTGCATTTTTTTCTGGTGGTAGCTGAGAGGCTTGAAATTTTATGTCGCAATTACAGTATTCTCCTTTTGGGGTTCCCTTGTGGCTTTGTTGACAGCCCACAGCTGCCTTAATCTCCCATGTGGGTTAGTGTAAAAATGACACATGTAAAACCACATTCACCATCAGGAAAAAAAAGAAGAGTTCATACCTCTTTCAAATTTTAAGCGCTGATAAAGCTGGAACTGGTCCACAGGTACCAAACAGGCAATCTGAAAGCAGAGACATGAAAGGTTGAGACTTCAGTCATCATAGGGCCCTCAGTTACCAGACTTTTGTGATTTCCCTTTTTGGCTTTGCTTATTGTACTTTCTCTACACCAGCTGTTTGCAAACCTCTTTTTCCCTACACTGGCCATGCGGTCAAACACATGCAACAGTTTTCAAGTCATCCCCACTCCTCCACCATTGCTGGGAATCACTGCTCCAGGGAGCAGTTACAAAACTCATTAACCACCTTCTATTCTTCAGTCTGTGGCTATCAAGACCAGACAACAAAATTTTACTACATGGACTTCTAAAAATTATTCATGTTCATATCTTAAAGATGCTTCATTTCTCTATATCTTCATTTAAGAATTTCTTTTAAATTACAGCTCTAGCTTTGGAATCCTTAAACACTAAAGTCAGGTAGATAGCAACTCTGGAATTATGCAAAAGTCATTTGTTGCCTAGGAAAGAGTACCTTTTAAACAATAAAAAAATCATTTCTTCTGACAAGAGTCACTTCCTGGAGTTATCAAACACTGACATCCCAGACCCTAGTAGAAAAGAAATGCCTAAAATACGTCCTGCAACTAGACTCTTATTTCCATTTCAGATAGCAGCATAAGCCAAATAGTTACTAGTAAACAACAGCGATTCATACTTGACTGAATGACATTTCAAATTAATCATTTTTAAAGGCAGATGCAGGAAAAGCTAACTGCTCTTAAACTGGAATTCTAAAACTATTAATTCCATTGACGTCAAATGTAAATATATGGACATAGCTTAAAGATTTATAAATGAGAAAATCAAAGGATTTAATATTAGCCTTCCAGACATCCAGTAAGTTGATACAGGACACAGTTTTAACCCTGACAATTTCAACTCTAAACTATCACCTTTTTTGGCACAAAATACACCTACATTGATGTTCTTGCAACTAAGGGCATCTGCTTTGAGAAAACTGGAGTAAGAAAATGATGCAGGTAAAATTGTATTTAACAAATATTACAACTTTTATAATGCATTCAAAATCTAATCATCTCCCTTATAAATAATGTCAAGTTGTTTATTTTGCAAATGAATCTAAGTTAGCTAGAATGTATAAAGGACCATAAAACAAGTTTGGTCTTCCTCGTTCCAAATAAGTACGGTAAAACATAACTAATTATAAAAACTTTTTTACCCAAATTTGTTTCTCCAGTTGGGGAGAAAATGTTGCATTTTCTTGTGGTACCTTAAATTACAGCTCCTTAGTAATCTTAACAAAAAAAATTACGCTCAATATCATGTTATATGTATTTTACCATAGTTCTTTCAACAGTATGGTTGGACTTTTATTACATTGAAAGCCAGCTTTATTCATCTGTTATAATGCTACCCAGACATCCTTCCTGAAAGAAAAAGATGTCTCAAATAAAATTCAGAGTTGGCATAAGTGGGAGTTGAACAACGAGAACACACGGACACAGAGGAACATCACACCTAGGGCCTGTCGGGGCGTGGGGGTGCAGGGGAGGGACAGCATTAGGAGAAATACCTAATGTAGATGATGGGTTGATGGGTGCAGCAAAGCACCATGGCACATGTATACCTATGTAACAAACGTGTACATTCTACACATGTACCCCAGATCTTAAAATATAATAAAAAACATTTAGAGCTGGAGACAGTAGGTACAGGCAAATGAAGTGATTGGAGGCACTAATTAAGCCAAAGTTCAGTTCCTGACTTTGTCGCTAACTCATCATGAGTGGAGAACAAACAAATGCTACATCAACTTATGGACCAACATGACTTGGGGTGATACCATCTGGGTCCAAGAGACCTCAATAATATTCTATGAATCTTTTTTTAATCACCCACCCTCTTTGATTCTAGAAGACAGTCCTGTACCCCATTCACCCCCATCTAAAATAGTTTGTGGACAGATAATCTCCTTTTAAATCCTTCAAAGTCAACCCCTAAAAATTCTGATTTTTTTTTCAATGAGAAATTTATATAAAAGTCAAATACAGTTTATGGAAGACAAGCAAGGAGGAGATAAGATGTTTTAGATACAGATGAAATGCTAATGTGAAAAACAACAGAAATCAATGCAGTGAAAAGTAAACAACTATAGAGATGGATGTTTAATTTTAAATTAAAAAATAAATTTCATTAAAGTACACACTACTGCCAATGGGGAAGTCATAGATCTCTAATTTTTTTGTCTTTTACGCTACTTTGGATTTCTCATTTAAGTCAAAGGCTTGCATGGAATTAAGACTTAATAAGGTGAATCAATTTTTTATTGAAAGTTGTAATCACAAGAAGTTAATTACATTGCTTCTCATTCTGTTTGGTCCTTTTGGAATGAAGACACCCACAGAATGTACCTTTCTCTTCCCCAGCTCCCCTCATTCAGACTTGCATCTTTTCTGTTAGTACTGTTTTTTAAGAGATGAGGTCTCACTTTGTCAACCCACGCTGGAGTACAGTGGCACAATCATAGCGCACAGTAGCCTCCAACTCCCTCCTCAAGCAATCCTCCCTCCTCAGCCTCCCACGTAGCTGAGACTGCAGGTGTGCACCATCATGAATTGTATCATTATTATCATCATTAATTATATCATTATTATCATCATTAATTTTCTAGAGGCAGGGTCTCCCTATGTTGCCCAGGCTGGTCTCAAATACCCAGCTTCAAGTGATCTTCCTGCCTTGGCTTCCCAAAGTGCTGGGATTACAGACATGAGCCACTGCAGCCAGTCAAATTTTTTGTAAGTACTTGTTGGCAGCTTACCACGAGGAAAGCTTTGGTCTGGAAGCCTGGCATACAATGAAGCAGGACATACAGAAGCTACACTCAAAAGGATGAAATTACTCAGAAAGCAATAAACATAAGATTTACAAAAGATCTACCCCTTGACTTTGTCTGCTGGATTTTGCAGATAAGAACTAATTTTCTGAAATATTTCTATTATACTTTTGACTTTAGATGAGAGCTATTGAAAAAAAAATAACAAATGATACAAAATGTGAAATTCCTGGTTCCACTGTCATTTGGAGCTAAGTCGCTATTGCTCAAGACCTCCATTTTTACAATTGTAAAATTGAATTATTAATATGTATGTTAGAACGATTATTAGAAGACTAAATCAGGCTGCAGGTCAAAGGGCTACAATCAATTTTTTGAGGATATTCACAAGTACTCTAAAATTGACTGCTACACCTAATAATCCTAGAGAATAAAACAGATTATAAAGAGGTACCTTGCAGTTACATTCATCCTCTTTCTGCCAACCAAGAATTTCTGAATCATTCAAAATCACACCAGAACTTTATATAAAAAGTTGCAAAATTTGTATAGAGAGTTCCCAAATGCCTTTCCCCCAACTTCCTCTAATGATAACACTTTCTAAATTTAGTTCCCAAATGCCATTCCAAATTCCCCTAATGATAATCATAGTCAATATCGAAATGATGAAATTTATATTTTGATACAAGTGAATTAAAGAATCTCCAGGCCTTATTCAAATTTCACTAACTGTCCCACTAGGATCTTTTTTTGCAGTCTAAGATCCAATCCAGGTTACCACCTTGCACCTAGTTGTGGTATCTTCTTAACCTTTCAATCTGTGACCGTTCCTCAATTTATCTTTGCCTTTCGTGATGTTGATGAGTTTGAAGAGGCCAGGTCCTTTATTTGTACAATGTTCCCCTAACTTGGATTTTTCTGATGCTTTCTCACAATTAGATTGAGGTTTGCATTTTTGGCAAGGATATCACAGATGTGTCTTTGGGGCCATCTGGAGCTACATGAAGACATGTCTCCTTATTGGTGATGTTAACTTTTTAATGTGGTTAAGGTGGTATCTGCCAGCTTCTCCATCATTCATAACTAACAAGTCTTTTATAAGGAGATACTTTGAAACTACGCAAAAATCCTGTTTCTAATCAAACCTTTCCCCACTAATTTTTGTATCCACTGATAATTCTTGCCAAAAATAATTATTACTGTAATATTTGCTTAGTCACTTTTCTATTTCCCTCATTCATTTTGTACTTGGTGATTAAAATTCCACTGTAAGAAAAAGCTGTTCCTTCTCTAACCATTTTTTAAATTTCGGTTAGCATAGACTACAGACATTTATTTTATTCCGTAGGTTCTAATTCATTACTAACCAAATCCATATTCTACCAATAAAAGCAAAGCTCTCTAATTATATTCTCAGCTATCAAGAGACCACTACCCTCAGATCAACTGCTTAACAGTGTTTAGTTTGATTTCAAGTTAATTTTTGCTACTTCTCCCTTGAAAGCTGTGCTAATTTATTTACTGTTAAATTTCTCTCTCCTCCTATCTAAACACAAAAGACAACTTTTGCTCCTTATTGTCATTCTAGAAACTCTTTCCAAAGAGGAAAACAAAACCCAAATTTTAATTCAAAGAGAAAACAAATTCAGTTTCATATTAATAGAATAAGAGCAATAATATCCCCAACAAAAAGCTACTAATTGCCCAGAATCACTATTTTGTTTTGTTTCATTTCTGATAAAAATGAACCTTAGAATCCTTATTAAATGCTCAGTTCCAGCCAGGCAAGGTGGCTCATGCCTGTAATCTCAGTGCTTTGGGAGGCTGAGGTAGGTGGATGACTTGAGGTTAGGAGATTGAGACCAGCTTGGCCAACATGGTCAAACCCTGTCTCTACCAAAAATACAAAAATTAGCCGGGCGTGGCGGCAGGTGCCTGTAATCCTAGCTACCCAGGAGGCTGAGGCATGAGAATAGCTGGAACCTAGGAAGTACAAGCTGCAGTGAGCTGAGAAAAGGCCATTGCACTCCAGCCTAGGTGACAGAGCAAGATGCTGTCTTAGCAACAACAACAAAATAGTTCCTACTCAGCTGAATGTCTTTGCTTTTCCATTCCATCCCTAGCAGAGCATATCCAGGGAAGCTAGAACACACCTACACTTGGGAGTGCTGTAACAGTTACACCTACAGTGAATTAATCTAACATC